CAGCCAGGCCAACAATGCCAGCAACGTGGAGCCCAGTACCAACTTTTGGCATACTAAGTAAAAGCCACTCAAAAACAAAAAATATAAAGCGAAGCACATACACGAAACTCATAAAAATGCTTTGTGGTTGACATTTTTTATTGTGCAGCTCGTCGTACTTTTTGTTAGCCGGTTTGATGCCGATATTGTTGCTGTTGTTGTTGTTGTTTTTGTTTAAACTTTGCTGGGCATTAACACCTCATAGATGGAACAACGACGACGACGAGCTTAGCAGACAAAGTAAAGAGACTAAAGTAAAGTGAAGCAAAAATCAAGTTAAAAGCTACACAAACTTCAAACTCAAATATCGTTCGTCACGCTTCACACACACACACTCAAACACCAAACACACTAAGCACAATGCACTGTGAGATAAAGGGAGGTACTTAGGGAGGTACCCTTCTTACTGAGTGGATTCGTAGACAGGTGGCGTGTTGAGAGACACGTACCGCTTTGCTAAAACAAAGTGCAGTAAAAGCTGCACAAATTGTTACTAAAGTAGCCAAAGACTCTTTCAACTTACTCAGAGCCCGCCCCCTTACCCTCTCCACCACTCTTCATCACCCCCCTTCTACCGCTACTTGATGGCTGCCTTCAATTTGTCATGACGCTGAACATCAAGCATTAAACTTCATTCGATTCAATTAAACATGCACGGCACTCCTCTCCGCCATCCCCCTCCTCCCCCGTCTTCGCTTGTCGCCGGCATCTTCCACAGCCTAATTGCTTATTGTTAATTATCAATTCAAATCACGTTAAGAGTGAGCAGCCTCCAAGCGAATCCGCAAGCTTCCCAAAAAAAAAAATATATATATATCACCCAAACCCTCAAGAAAAGCCAAGAGAAAAAAATAGGAAAAGAAAATAATATTCGTTTCAGTTCGACGAAGTCTATATACACTTGCCAACTTCTTTATTAATTTGAAACAATCAATTTGAATCAATAGCAAGGAAAATATAAGATATAGCTCCTGGATCTTGTTCAGAGCCACATATTGTTAAATATATAAGTTCTAGTGAAGATCAAATCCAAAGACATTTTTGTTTTAAACGGAGAAGGTTGTTTCTTTATTTTGATAGTACAATTAGAAAACTCTGCCGTTTAAGTTATAAATAATTTTTTAAACAGATATATGTGTTACAATATTGAAAGAAGAAGAAAGATAATTAGTGCATTGTATTTACTTATCCAACAAGTAGTTGATTTCTTTATAAGCATAAATCGCAGCTAAGAATACCAAACGAAAAACAAAAATGTGTATAGATTTTCAAAAGATAAAATGGTCCAAAACACAATTCCATCAGCCTACACATATTTAATAATATAAAATAAAATAAAGATATTTAATAATACAACGTTATAATTTCAACTTAAAAGAAAAGAAAGCCTAAAAAAAACTATACAATAACGTCTATTAATTAATATATAATATATTATCAAAATTCCGTACTCTTTATGTTCCAAAAGGCACCCGAAACTGCCAATACCTTTTGTGAGGCTATGGAAAAATAAAATTATCATGCAGCACGCTTAAATGGCTTTTCAATTAGATTATGTCATTCAAGGCAATGACAGCGGCCAGAACTTGCAGTCCACCCACAAAAACACACACTCACGCACACAAACAATAAACGTATCAATTTCCGTTAAGGAATTTGTCGAAAAAAAGGAAGAAGATATAAAGCAACCTTCATCCCCTGCTGCTGGAAAAAAGCGCAAACAACTTGAGTTCATTAATTTTCTGTGAGGCGCAACAATTAGCACGAAACCGAACCAAACCGAACGCCAGGGTCCGAGGGGGAACATCGAAAAACAACAAAACAACAACGAAAAAAAACACGATATTAAACAATATGCCTCACCGTCCCATCTACAGGCCAGAAGCGCGTGAAGACCTTCCCAGTCCCCCGGCCCAAACGTGACGCAGCTAATTAAGTTGACGCATTTGCTGCCTCGCTGCCTGCCTGCCAGCCTGACAGCCTGACTGGCTAGAAGTTTCGCTTTGTAACGCCGTTTTGCCACTGTCTCGTTATTGTTGTTGTTGTTGTTGTTATTTGGCTCGCGGTCTTCTTTGTCTAAGTGTTGGTACTTCTTGGGAGGTAGAGGTGGGGTTGGTCTGCTGGCTGCTGACTGTTGGAGGTGCCGTCGTGTGGTAAGCTTAAGAAATTTGCATGGTTGATTAGCTGTTGGGTCGAGGGGCAGGGGGGACGATGGGAGGGAAAAGAAGACGAGTGTGGAAAGCGGGAAAAACAACAAGTGTGCTCCCATAATATACTTGATGTGCGTATTTATACAATATCGCCGAACCTCGTCAGAAGAAGCCATTGTCAGAGCCACACTTATTTCTTAATTTGTTTAGAATCCTACCGAATCGGGAATCTTCAAAACTATGCAGTTGACTTTTTAAAGACTTGACTTTTTACGACTAACACTATGATAAATGTCTTTCGATATCTGTAAAATTTGATAACATCTTTTAAAATTTTTTTTTTTTTTGCAACGAAAAAAATAATGTAATGAATCGAACTTTTCTTGGCTTTGCTTATAAGCTATTGCCCCGAGGAACCATATCCCAGTGGCCACTCGGTTCGAATCACCACGCTATCATCATCGCATAAAGCCTGATTTACAAAATTACTTTTAGTCTGCAAGAATGATTACATACTCGTATAAGTATAATGCCAAACTGCCGTGACATGGCCAAAATCAGCCTCGCATCATAATAAAAATAAAAAACAAGACTATTAGTTTCGAAACCACACTTGAAGCTCTGCCCACAATGCAATGACCTGCGAAAATGGTTCATTTAATTTATTTATTTGATAAATCAACAATCCACACATTCTATTTTAATTATTAATATATATTTTAACATTTTATATGTATATAATAAAAATACATATAAAATGAAGTTATGATTTAATACAACTTTATAATTTAAACTTAAAAGATAAGAAAGCCTAAGAAAAAGCTGTACAATAACGACTATTAATGCCTCCGCCACGTTAGGGGAATTTTATTTATGCCCCAAAACACAGCCATATGTGGGCAGAGGCATTGTAGACCTAACAAACTAAACAAATAGTAAGTAGAAGAGGAAAATTAATTCTACTTAAGAACTAATGAGAAAAAGTAAGGAGTAGAAAGAGTAAAAGGAAAAGAGAAAAGGAAGGAGGGAAAGAGAGAAAGAGAAAGTTGGAAAGAGAGAGAGACGAAAATAGAAAGAGGGAAATCTCCAACCCGGTGGGCGAAAATTTAAAGCAAGCTATACCCCGACTCTTAGCAGTAAGTGGTCCGAGATTTCCCCGAAGATAATAATAAAGAATATTTTTGATATATAATTTTAATCCTTTGTACGACCGAGAGATTTCCATCTTTAACCTGATTATTATCATTTCCTTCTTCTTTTTTATAAAAATTATTTACAATTTATTAAACTAGTTTTAAGCTAGTCAAAAATTAAAGGCATAACCTGATGATAAAGAGTGTATACATTTATTTAAGAACATTGAAATGAATTAAGAAAAGGAATCTTGCATCACATTTTTGTTTACCGCGTGCCACACCCCGCTCACAACTCCTCTGAATCAAAACAATGGACAGGCTGGAGTGCCGCTAAATTTGCAGAAAACCACAACAGGCAGAACAACGAAAAGCGGCAAAGGCCTTACAACAGGGAAATTGTATTGAAAATGCGTGCGAAATGCACTTGAGAATTTTCGCAGCCGCCAAAGTGAAGTGGCATCGAGTTTCCTTTGATTTTGCGCCCAATACTCATAACGTGTTTTTTTATTTTGTGTTTTGTTTTGCCGGAGTGCTCGCCGTTGCCTTTTCCCGCCGATCGCCTTTTATTGTTGCACATCAAACGGTGCGACTCAAGTGCGAGCCAACAACAACAACAACAACACCAGCAACATGGCCATATTGGTGGTTGGAGATGGCTCTGGAGGATTGGATGGGCAGTTCAATCGCTGGCGTCCACTTGTGAGCGTGTGTGCATGAGTTCTCAAGTGTTCACATTTTTGCGCTGGCTGTAATTAGTTTAATGAAAATGTTGACTTTAAAAATGCAACCGCTGCAAGCGACTTGCCGACTCACAAGTGATAAATCTGAGACGAAGGACCACGGATCACAGTGCAAGCAGCCATTTTGAGTTTCACAAAACTTGTGCTGACTGCCTGCAGTTGCTGTCGCTTTGTCTTGTTGCTGTTTCTTCTGCCTTTTGCGGGCGATGGGGGGGAAATGGAGAATTTTCACACAAGTCCAGGAATATGTTGCCTTAGACAGTTGTCGGCTGCGCAAATCTTACTCGAAAAGTAACCAAAAGTATTGCGCCGAGTGGTGTGTGAAAAGTTTATCAAACGCTCTCACACTCCCCCCGTCTTGCTGTGGTACAGTCTCGTTTTTTTTTTCTTCTTCTTCTTTTCAGCTGTCATTTTGACAGCTGGTGCTGCTACTACCTGCAATCTCCACACACACACACACACACACACACATACACAAGCAAATGCTCCTTTTTTTGTGCTACAACTGCTGGTACTGACTCAAGTCACTGTCTACTTGCGGAGGCAGAAGAGGAAGAAGAGACAGCAGATGAAGAATAAGAAGACATCAGCTGTTCAGTTGACTTCTGCTTGCAGGCGTTAAACTAAATGGCCAACACAAGGGAGTAGGCAGGGAATGGCTGGTGGGACTTTAAAGTTGGGTGTAAATTGCATGCACCTGTCAAAGCTCACTTGCACAGTTCTTCAGAGTTATGAGTGGTGTGTAGAGGACACACCTCTAGAAGTGCATAATCACAAAAGGTAAGGGAATTTGGCAGCAGACTCTTTCCTTCCTCAGTGCAGTTCATCAACTTACCATTAGGCTTTTAGTGATGACTGCCTCCAGATCAATTCGCAATTATCTATCCTTAGACATACCGATGCCCTTCAATAGAAACGAACTTCTTAAACATTTCTTTATACAATCCAATTTATTGAAATCGAGCGCGAAAAAGTCTCACAAACTATTAATTAAGCCCGCCAAATTTCGAATCAGCAGACGTCGACTTGACATTCATTCCACCCATATTGTCGACTTGCAAACCACAATAATGTTGCCCAATCCCATTGAATGTTGGATTCGGCCGATTTAGAGACTAGCTTAGACCTCATTCAGCAGCTGGCGGAATTATCCCGAGCTTGTGATTCATCTCTGTAACTAGCTTTCATGAAGTCCAATATAGTTACGACTTTATAGACTTACCGAGTTCTGAGTCCACAGTCATTCTTCTGGTTGTTGACTTGAGAAGAGGTAATGAGTTCTAATGAACCGATGGTGACACAAAGTGAGATCAATTTGTGCTTCTTCATCTGAACGCTGAAGGAACCTTATTTAAATCATCCTAAGCTGGTAGCTTGCATCCCTATTGGCTATGCTATGACAATTTTCTTCAAAAGTTGATCATCGGATCTAGAGAAGCTGGAAGAGAAAATCATTCTAGTTCCAATTTAGTTGCTAAATCCAGTCCGCTTACGTGTACAGTAAAACGCTTTCTATGTCAGTTGTGGCGACCACCTTTTAACAGGAGAATGACGATGCACGTGAAACAAGAGGCGTTGACAAAGAGCTGCTCACTACATTCGGTGTGATACAACCATCACGATCACAAAACCTCAAATGCGAACATCATAAGCAGAGCACCTAATTGGCTGCCCTTTCAAGTTCAAACGAAATTTCCAAGTCCTCCTTAATGGTGCCGCAGGACATTAAAAGTAAAACCCATAACTACTCTAACTGCTCTGACAGCTCCTATACCTTACGGAGACGATGGTCTCAATAAGCGAACGGAACGTTCATCAGTCCGATGATGAAGCAATACTCATATCTAGGTTTTACATCCATTGTACTGCAGTGACATAATAGCCGAGCTTGAAGCTTCATATGCACTAGAGGAAGGAAGCCGCCTGTATGTGCCATGAATACAAAAGCCACATTTGAATATTTGCTCTGAAGATGATTGCAGCACATCGAATGTATTGAACAGTTCCAAGTCAACGTCCATCATTTCACCCGCATAGTTCTACATCGGCACACACTTTTTCTTTTGAATCGCTGCTGATTTTCTTAGTTTCAATTTATTTTTCAATTTGATCTTTAATCTATGTAGCTGCCTGTTGTTTTCCTTTCCTTTGCGCTCGATGTGCCTAGCTGCCTTTTTGCCTTATTGCTCTTTCTTGCTGCGGCGTCCACTTTTAGTTCAACTTGCACTTTTATATGCAATATTACAATATTATCATTCACTTACCACAATAAAAATGCCATTTGTTTTCATGAAAACAATCCACATTATCACAAATAATAAAACAAACAAAATTTCACACCATTTTTTCACTTGAATTTTGAACTGCTCTTGACGAAATCTAGAATGCCAATGAATTTTGTAAGGCTCGAATACCGAATCCGTTTTTGAAAACAAATGCAACGATGAAGCGATGTCTTCAAATTATATTGAAAAATCTATAAACATGACTTGTATTTGAATTTAGTTCTTCCCTCGACGAATTCCTAAATATAAATGATTTGCTTTTTTGAATTAAGGTACCGAATATGTTTTTGCATTGAAAATTAAGGCAATGTTGACATGCTTGACTCAAAAATGTGTTGTAAGATGAATAAGCTAAAAGTATACAGCGTTAATATCTTTATCTAAAATCTGTAATTCAAATAGATACTTTTCACGAAAATCGTAGGGAAAATATGTCACGATTAATACAAAATAAACAAAGTTTATTCAAGTACAACGTCCCCCCATCCAGTATAGTTATTAGTTAGTTGGTCTAACCAGACCTGCTAATTAAACGGCAGACTAAGTCAAAACCTTAAACGAACTTTGCTTCAATAGCCATTGAATGCAGCCCATCTGCCATTTATTCGCCCAGCTATTGCTTTGCGGCTTGTTGTACATAAAATTCGCGCCACCCACACCCTTCTTGTAACCACAACCATCCATTCGTTTGGTGCGGCAAGTCATAAATATTCTATAAATAACAATAAAAGCGCATAAAAAAGTTCGACAAAATAACACGGAAAATAACTTTAAAATTTAATCGTGCAAGAACAACAAGCGCCAACTTCAAAGACCGAGCAGCAAGAGGCGGAAGTGCCTCAACAATTTTCAACACGTTTGTCGGCCCTCGCTGGCGTTGCTTTTGTTTTTGTTGTTCTTTTATTTTTTATCACACGTGCACACACACACACACACACACACACACACACATACATATACATATATAAGAACGACCGACACGGAAAATCATAAAATTTTAACGAACCTATTGAAAGTTTACACATTGCTGCTTGATTTCACCGGGCGTTTTGAACGAAGGTAAAGTGTCGAGCAAAAGGCCAAGACGCCAACACCAATGCGGGAGGAGGTGGGCGGGTGGCAGTGGGCAGGCCCTGAAGTTGGGTCTGAATCGCACAACAAGTGGCGCCTTTGCAGCCTGCCATGTGGTTGTGTGAAAAGTGTGAAAAGCACCATCGAACGGCAAAGATTTTCACACTTAGACATTAAGAAAATTTATGAACAAATACGCACACACACACACACAAACACACACCCACAATCACAAACTCACGCACATGTTTCATGCAAGCGCCGAAATGTATGCTACAGGAAAATTAAACTTACCTATGTAAACAAGCAAAGGCACACGTGTGTGTGTGTGTGAATTTTGTGCATGTGTGTAAGCGGAAGAGCAGTGCGGAAGTTATGTTCAAACTTAATTTAAGGTTCAATAGCGTAACCAAAGAAAACCGCAAAAACTTTGGCTGAAAGACGAAGACTAGCAGGGTAGCAGGGAAGGACAACAAGGTTGGGAGGAAGGACGAGGAAGAACGAAGGCGGCAAGAGCAACGTGAGCAGGGCCGTGTGGCACGTGAAGGAGTTTTGTAACATAAAATCTTGTGGTTTATTAGATTTTAATAATTCACACGATTCACACACACAAACAAAGCACAACACGGCGACGTATTAAAGAGTATGTGTATGTGTGTGTGTGCAACTTTGCTCTGAAGAAGACACATGATAGTCAGCAGGCGGCAGTCGAGCGATGCGCGTGCATTTGAAGTCAACAAAAAACTAACTTTTATCTCATCACCACCACCACCAGCAAGCAACAACAACGGCACATGTTCCTATGCTTTGCTCTGCTTTGCTCAGCTTTTTTGGCCAAAAGAACACCCGAAGGTGTGTTTGTTTTTACAACAACATCATCAGTAGCAGTATCAGCAACAACAACAACAACAACGGCAATGACAACGACAAATTTGTGGCATATCAGCGGTATGTTGCATGGGTTATGCGACAAGCATTTGAACAGCCTTGGCGGCGGGCAGGGCCCACAACTTCACTTGAGAATGCGACATGAGAAATGCCACTAAAGGGAATTGATTTTCATAGCCATCTTATAGTCTGCGTCAAACTATGCCAATGCTCCTTGTTGTTGCCTCTTAAATTATGGTAACTCGAATAAGTTATTGCAGTCAAGGATGTATATAAAATGTGGACGTCATGTGTAGACCATTCGAGGTACATACGAGTAAAAATAAAAACACAAGAAACCAAAAGTAGATATAAATAAGAATGATGATTTTGACGTGAAAGCTGTTTGATCTTTTATTAATAATTGTTAAAACACTTATAGCAACGATATACAATTATTAATAATGCCAATAAATATTTCTATAAATGGACAAAATTGTATTTTAATCTTAAGACATATTGCCCCTATACGAGTGTAATTGTAAACGACTTCAAATTGAAGTTCTTTAATTCTTTGAAATATAAACGGTTGAATCTTGTTTCAGATTTTCATCTGCAATGCAATGCTTTTTTAAAATATTGTCAAACATCAATTAAAAGAGAAACTCCATTCGGTTTTAAAGTAGTTTATGTCTGCATATTCAAATACAATGAAGAAACTAAAACGAGACTGTATTTACTTTTTTTTTACGTTTTCTTCCTCTAGTCTAAAGTTCTGCATACATAAGTCCCATGCTTTTCTCTCCTTTCGCTTTTCAAATAGATCCCGCAGTACATCTCAACACATTCAATGAACTGCGCTTGGGTCAAACGGCAAAGCCATCACATTAACAATGGAAACATATCAAATGCGCTCCATGAATACGGTTATAAGACCATCCATTTTTTCCAGCTTCCAACGCTGTTGCAGAACTTTCCGGATAAAATACTGTAAGGCAAAATAAATCAGTGAAAAATGTGCAACTTATGATCAAGTGTTCCCACAAGAATTGCAAACTTTGTGCAGCCAGCAATCCCTCCAACATATCCAACCCCCCCCCCCCCCCCTCGCTCTCACAATGAAGTGCAAGTTGAAACACTCGCTCGGGCAGCGTTTTTTTGTTTTCATCTTTTCTAGAAATTTCTTTGCTCCTTGCTATGGCTTAATGTTGCAGATTTCCTTTTTGCTGGCGCGTTTGGTTGCCTGCTCGCAGCCTTTGTTGTCTCGTCTTCATCGTTATTGTCGTTGTTGTTGTCGTTGTCCGGATGGCTGCATGTCGAAGGCATCGAAGTTATGTGCAGTGGCCCCGCAGGTTATGCAGCAAAAACTTTGCATAGCAAGAGTGTTTTGGGCAGCAGCAGTTGACAACATTGACCTTAGGTCTAAAGCACAAGTGCATAAATAGTTCATAAACTATTTTCAAGCCATGGGGCATGGCATGAAGGAAATCGAGTCCTTAACCCATAGTAGCCGCGCGTACTTAATTTAATGATTTACAAACACATTTTTTCAGGTACTCGGATTGCATGTCACACCAATTAATTACGCTCGGCAGTCAGGAAAAAATACGTTGCACAAAATAAAACCAAATGCAAACAAGCTAGCTATCCAGTTAATCATGCATAACCGACTATTAAATACCCAGCATTGTAGAGAAAACATTGCTCTTGAAACATTAAAATAATAAAAAAATAAAAAAATAAACCATTATATTAAACAATTTATCGGTTCATATTCTGATATACAGTGAGGGATTGGTCAAAATAAAAATATGGTTGGCGTCCGAAAAACGGAAACAGTCGGGTGTTTCCGTTAGATAGTCTTAACAATGCCTATACCTTCAAGTGGACATACGAGTTTAATAAAAGCGATTATATTAAATATTTTAATCATTACATGGAGCCTCATGAGTAAGCTATCTTGTTACAGAGCATACAAATTGGGCGTAACACAAAGCAAACAAACATTAATGCAATATGCCAGACTATTTTCTGCACATAACCCTCTGTCAAAAGCAGTCAAAATCAATTTGAATTTCAAATTAACATAAGAACCAAACCCTTGAGTTTTGAAATAAGAGAGAGAGAGAGAGAGAGAGAGAGACGGAGAAAAAAACAAGCAACCCCATCTAGCGCCAACTTAACAAAAGGGCCACCACAACTACAGAAACAGGAATCCAAACGATTTTTGGCAACTCGCAAGATTTGCGACTTTATTTGCTGGGGAGCTATCAGGAACTCGTGGCTTGGAGTTTTCTAGGGTGGCGTGCTCTTTTGTCGTCACAACATTGACTCTCCATTAAAAATGCAACAGCGCCTGTTTTGGTGTAGGCATTATCCTGGTCACCGTCGTCGTCGTTCCCCCACATCAAGAAATGCGTTGGACAAACAAAAAGCGTTGCATACTTCACGGCGGCGACGCGCAGTAGTCAAAATACAAATTGAATTTTCTACTTAAAGACAATGGTTGGCAAATTTTTACGCGGCACTGAAAATGAAAAGCGCTTAATAAAGGCAACGGATAGCAGAGAGAGAAAGAGAGAGGGAGAGGGAGAGGGTGAGAGTGAGAAGAGAATGAGAATGAGATGAAAAGAGAGTGCGAGTGGGATTGAATAGAAGGCGTTCAAGTCTCAGTTTGGGAAGTCGCGTCATCACCATCACCATCACTGTTACCTATTGTCGTCATTTGTTATTTTGTCGAAAAATGAAAATATTATTCCCAGCGGGTTATTTGTGTTCGTTAGTAAGCGAAACAGCATCAAGAAGGGCGGCATCACACAACAGAGAGTCCATCCTAAGACAGTCAGCTGCATAGATATCCTGCAGGCACTGTAAGTGTTAAGGTTGAAATAAATGCATTTATAGAGTTCACAAACCGATGGAGAAAAGAAATTGTGATAATCAGTAAACGAAAAAAAATACATACAAAATTAAATTAAAATGATCTAAACAAAAAAACTTGAAGCCATATAGCCATACATAATAAAATGGGGCTCTCATCTAATTTTCTTCTATTTTGTATGAATATATACTTACTAAGTATAATATTATCGGAATCAGTAACTTAATTGTATGGAAAAGAATAAACTATATTTCTTCATTATATTTTTCTGCTCCTTCTCATGCTCCTATTTTTTGAATCTAATCTCCAATTTTTTGCCTAATTTTTCCTGTGTTGTTCTC